AACATGTATATTTAGATATGCAAATGAGATATTCACTTTTTAAATACGTGCTAATTTGCATAAATACCAAAAACCTGAAAACTGAAAAAAACAAAGTTAAAAAATATTGTTTCATTATTGTCTATTGTTTCAAATAAACAAAGTAGTAAAATAAATGTTTTCTTTCCTCTAGTCTGAAAGAAGACGTGTTGAGGGAAGTAAACATTGTTTTGGCTGGACTGGCCCTTTAAACTTCATTCTAAATGCAGGATCTGTTTTGTAAAGGAGTATTTAGTGTTTTCTAACACTAAGCTTATCTGCAAAATGATAGCATGTGTTATTTCACAGTAAATGGTTCATGCAGGGGACAGAGCTGACCACTAGGTGGCGGTGTCACACACTCACCTGCCAGCATCCTAACTCTGACGTGTTTTTAGTGCATTTGAGTCGCTGTGTGATAATGGATCAGTTTATTCCCCACATGTGTGTTCCTCCTCCTGCTTTCCACGAATGAAATATGCAGCATTTGTGAGGAAATGTGACAAACGATTTAAAGGCAAAGTACATTTCTGTTGAGTATTTACTGCAGTCCGAGTCCTTGGTTTGTGGCTCAGTTGAGTTTGAGTTAGTTCTGCACTCCGGGGCCATGTGTGGGTTATGTTTATGGTGTGTCTGTGCACACTATAAATCATTTCATGTCCTGTATTGTGTTTGGGGCGCTGTAGAGCACGCGGCTGAAGTCGCGAGCCACCTTCGCCCCGAGCCTTTCATTAAAGGTTAAACATGGAACAAAAAATAAACATGAAATCAGAAGATGTTTATTTATTTATTCATCAAATGTTTGATTTTGTCATTGAAGCTGTTTTGACGAAACGAGTAAATAGATGATATGAAGTTACCGCTCATCTAGTGAGGAAAGAGCCTGAAGACGTTCACATCAGGGAGTACAAAGTATAAAATAATACACACAGTTATACATCATATTTCTTGTGGTTTTCATGGTAACGTGATATGTTGCAGCAAAGTGCTGTCCCATTCCTATTTACACCATCTCAAGCCCTCACAGCCTCTCACACTCTACTGACATCACTTACCAGGTGATGTCAGTAAATCCTTGAGGGTTCAGGGTTTGAGGGTTTAGGGGGGAGATTGGGATTTGGCCTTACACACACCGTGACACACGGGGCTGAGACGAGGAAATAGAAAGAAGAGCAGTTAGAGAAGTTATCTCACGTGTTCAGAGAGAATAGAATTTATAAGCAAGAATGAACAGACTCTTCTATGTTGATTCTTCCCACAGGCAGTTAAAACCAGCATGTCTCATATGTCCAGAAACCGTAACTATTGATAAAAGCGGTAAATGAAGCGCACTACGAGGCAAAGCACAACTCTTTTGAACAAACGTACCCACTCACATCTGAAATGAAGACACAGAAAATAAACCTAAGAGCCCGAAATGATCAGAATCCTAACGCATGAATTCACTGTCCAACAATGATGTCAACAGAATAGAGCTGAAACAAGTGGTTTAATAACACAGATAAAGTCCATGCTCACTGATTTATCTTGTTAGAAGATGAGAAAAATATAATATTGTGGCTTTTTTTATTGACATCACTTCACACCTGAATGAACTGAATTTAAAGCTGCACAATTCGGTGAAATTGATTTTTCTAAAATGAATTAGTTTATTTTAAGATGCACATTTTTCAAAAGCTTTCTGTTATTCTTTATTCCAGAACTTATTGTACTTGAAATGAGAAGAACATTTATTTATGTATTTATAATCCATCCAGTTAAATTTGAAAACTGAGAATAATAATTTGTTAAAATATAATTGATGTGTACTTTCTTTATTTAATTTGACAGTTGTTGACTACACAGAGACCTTACTACTACTAGGCTTCTTTAATATACTTAGATATATCTATCTATCTATATAGATATAGATATTATTGTAATGTTTCGGACCTTTGCCCGAGGAGATTCTCTCAATCTGGACCTTTTGGAATTTTAGTTGAATGCCCCTGCTTTACATGAAATGCAATCCCCCCCCAATAAGGCACAAACAAAACAGCTTCAGAAGAAAACAGCTGCTATACAACAAGTAGAAGCACTTAGCACAATAACATCAAGCAGGAACAATCGGTTAAGAATAATGGTGGGGACGATTGCTGCATAATGAGCAGCACAAAGACTATCGATCAGAGCAGGAAATGGCGGTCTTGAATGTCTGTTGCAGCGTAACTCACTTTGTAAAATGCACTTAGTACATGCATCTCATTATCACACCAAGTCTGATGTAATCTTGTGTATTTTAGTAATTAATTTGAGTAATTTAAACGTCTCGTGTCAAGTTTATTGGGCATTTGTTGTCGGTTCTAATGAAAATGTTAGATTTCATTTAGGGCCTTGCGGTTCGTTTGTGCAAAAACAATCTAAACCAGGAATGTTTTCTCAGACGTTGGAAGTATTTCCCGTGGGACTGAGAGTTTTCATCTTTCCTGTGCTCGGCCAAGTCTCCTGTCTGCAGCTCACGAGGCACCTCTGGGAGAGAGTTTTTCAAGATATCCAAAGCCTAAAAGCGGGTGTTTTTATTAATATAACCTAGTGTATCGTATGGACTTTGGTGACCCCTTAACTTTTCATCTAGCGCCATCATCAGGTCAACAATTAGAAGTGTCCAATACTTTGGTTGATGATTAAATACCTGCAGAACTAATGACATTCCCATCAGCCTCAGCTGTACTTTGTGTTTAACTGAATGTTAGCCTGCTAAAATGCTAAGCTAAGATGGTAAACATTACATGTGCTAAACATCAGCATGTTAGCATTGTCATTGTAAACATGTATGCATGCTAACACGCTAAACATTGTAAACATTACACCTGCTAAACACATCCCTGTGTTCTCTTTCACATTAAACAGTCACTTGACTCGTCATCTAGCTCATAAATAACAAACCTCAAAGTCTTGGAGCCCTTTGTTGTTTTGGATAAATGAACAATGGGTCAAATTAAGTAGTGTCAGGGCACAATATAGTCATTTGAGAATATTAATTATTAATTTGAGAGACTGAAATACTGAAGTGAAGGGAGGAAACGAGTGTAGTGAGTCATTTTAGGAGATGATTTGTAATTGTGAGGGCAGGAACTACTGTACTTTCCCTCTGACGCCTACCAGACTCCACAGAGAAAAGTTGCTTCATACAGCTGTAAACATAATCGTACCCATTTCCCCCCTCAGATAGTATTGAGTAAGCTCGAGTGTTGGTCTCAGGGCTCACACGTGGGTCGGCGTCTGAACGCTTCGGTCCTTCTCTGGAATGTCAACAATGAGTCACGTCGGTCTGCTAAAACTCGGGGCGGGTGGCTGCTCAGTAATCCAGCTTCACTCACACTCACTCCTGTAAAAACCACATTGGTTGAGCCAGTTCCCCAAATCAACATTAAATCACTTGTATGCAGGTTTGTGTCATGAACTTTTGGATCCATTGTGTTTTGTGTTTCCTCTCACACTTGGACGTCTTCAGAAAAGTAAAGCCAGGCCTCTTGAATTGGATTTAAATACTTGGTTGAGCCAAACATTTAGTAGTTTCAGCTTGTTCGATGTGAGGATTAACTGCCCTGCTCTGTCTTATATGATAATACATTTAATATCTTTGGGTTTAGGACAAAAAGCAACATTTGAGGACTTCAGATTGAGGAAATTGCAATGGCCATATTTCAATATTTTGTAGTGTGAAGTATCTTAAAAATAATCCTTATTATCATTAGTTATTTGACAATGAAAATGATCATTAGTTGCGTCCCTAGTGTTATTAGTAAAGGTTGCTATTTTTGGAGATATTCCTATTTGGTATCTAGCTTAGAATTAGACGTGAGGATCAATAACACTTTAATGTCTGTATGCTAAATATGAAGTTACAGCGAGTTAGCTTAGCATGAATTGAGTCTGCACCCAGACAATAAATCGTTGTATCACAAGACTGCAACACTAACGTGTTAATTTGTGAACATTAGAGGAGGTGATAACCAGATTATTCTACGTTTAGACAAAGCCAGGCTAGCTGTTTCCTCCTGTTTTCAGTCTTCATGCTAAGCTAATGGCTGTAGCTTCATTATTTATCACCTGTGAGTGGTATTGATCTTCTCATCTAACTCTCGGCGGTAAAATATTTGAGAACAAGGTTTAGAGTCATGTTATCATGAAGTTTAAGTGGTTGAATAGATCTGCTTAATGAAGCCAAAATGTGTTCATGTTGCATTCTGGCTGTGAGGCGCTGCGATGAAGATTGAGTTTAATCATTTCTATTATTGATTAATCTGCCGATTGTTTTCTGGATTAATCGATTGGTCCTTAATACATTATAAATGCTTGTACAACAGTTAAAAATCCAAATATATTATAGACAAAGAAAAGCTGCAAATCCTCACATTTTGCTTCAAGCAACTTAAACAATCATCAATACAGTTGCAGATGAATTTTCTGTCGATCCAATCTATAAATCAAGAATTGTGATTGAATTATAAAGTTGGTAAACATTTCTTAAAGTGGCACAAAGCCTCTTTTACACAGACGGGTGCCTCAAACAGGAAGTCCCACCCCCTCCTCTCTCTGATTGGCTGTATCTGAGCTCCTGAATGGCTCTCCGGCCAATCACATCTCCCCCCTCCCCTCTGTGTCCCGCCCAGCTGAATCTTCCTGACTTCTGTCTGCATTGCTGCTGCACTCCGCTCTCAACCTCCCGGCCTTTCGGTCTGGTCTCAGTGAATGTGTGTGATGTGGATGTGTGTGTGAGTGACTGTGTGTGTGTGTGTGTGTGTGAGGAGATTTAAAGACTGCAGTGTCTTTTCTCTAGTCAGAGGAAGACGAGAGCGGCGGCTTCTTGCTTTGTGTTTATGAGTTAGTTTGTTTATTCACCGAGAGACAGTTGAGGGAAAGTGATGATGATGATGGGCTTCCCCCAGCCTCTGCGGGCTCAGGTCAGTGTGTGTGTGTGTGTGTGTGTGTGTGTGTGTGTGTGTGTGTGTGTGTGTGTGTGTGTGTGTGTGTGTGTGTGTGTGTGTGTGGAGCTGCCACATGTTTCTACAGTAAACTGTTATTTAAATGATCAATGACATCACTAAGGTGAAATGTCGGAGCCTAAAGTAACGTCTTCGAATGGCTTATTTTTAGAGGCTGACCTGAAGTGCATTCTGTTAGCCTGATATAGACATTGATAATTGAGAGACAAAGAAACCCAATAACAATACATTTATTTAAAAATAAAGCAGAGAATACACTAGAAAGGTGCCCTCAGTAGAGCGCAGATCTCTGCCAGGTGTGTCTGAAACCACCACCTCTGCTGTAATGTTTGATTTGATGAGCAACACACCGTCTCTGTGCAGACTTCTGTCTCACGGGGCGTTGATTTAGGCTTCAAGTCCACTGAGTAAGCCCTTTTCTCCCACTGTGTCTGCTGAGAGGTACTCAGCAGTGTGTGAACTAGTAGTTTCATGAACTGTTAACACAGCGTCCATTACAATCAATGTGATAAAAGGGTTATACTCCGCTTTGTCTTTGGCCGCAGAGAGACAGCTGTGAGGTACTCAGCAGTGTGTGAACTGGTAGCTCTGTTAGCTGTTTGCCAAACACACCGTTCAAAACACTAAAAGTGAGGAAAACGTTTTCCCCACAAGCAGCTGTGAGGTTGTTGAAGAAAAACATTGTATAACTGCTGAAAACAGGTTTTATTACAGATATCTCAACACACAGTCGGTGCATCCACGAGAGGTCCTCGAGCAAGCAGCCACAAATGAACACAGAAGATATTACACAGTTTGGTGCAGCAGAATGAGAGATTGTGCTTGGACAGAACACAGACTCACTTACACACTGACGCACAGGCACTCGTGATTCTCCTGGCGGAGATAATAACAAACATTTTTGATAAGGATCAGGGCCGTCACTCAAACTACCATTCAAACACAGAAAAAATGTAATCGATCGGCAACGGCGTGTAAAAGTGACGGTGCTACCGATTGGACTTCCTGTTGCCCTTTTAGCTAAAACAATGCGTCGTAAACAAGCGAGCCGTGCTCAGCCTCTCTTTTCAATCGAGCTCTCCTCTAAAATATGAAAAATACCAATAAATGCATCGCAAGTTCAGAGTCTTCAAAAAGCTTATTTTGCTTCACAATGAGTCGGTATTAAAACCCACGCTTCCGTCTCTTTGACGGGTGTTTTAATGTCTAATAAATCTGCTGTGTGAGCGGTTCAGGATGCCAAAATGCTCCACAGAAGAAGGTCGAATATTTCTTTCTGCCCACTTGTGATTGTTTTCACTTGTGGTTTTATTTTTTACTGAGATGTATTGTTGTCATCGTTTTAAAGGTTTCGTTTGGTATGTTTTACCTGTTTTATTGGCCTTGTTTTGTTGGTGCATTGCATATGATTTGGCCCTTACTTACCCGAACAACTGCATACACACTTAGTGGCTGGGTGTGTTTGAGACGTTTGAACCGATACCGTCATGGTATGGATGAGATGCGCAGGATAACTGTTGTCTCTACTGTGTCCCGTCTGACTCGTATCTCTGTTTGTTTTTGGACTCTGTGCATGAGACACCAAACTAGTTCTAATTTAAGAAGCAGGAACCAACAGATATCTGCTATCTTTACCTGTTGACTTTATATTAATCCATGTCTTGTCATTGATCGCTGACGACTTGGAGTAGTGTACGAGGATGATTTAAAACTCTTCACTGTGTGTGAGAGAGAAAATTAACTTACAGAAGTCAAAGAAAAGAGGAAGGTGTGTGTGTGTGTGCGTGTGTGTGTGTGTGTGTGTGTGCGTGTGCGCGCAGCAGCAGCCTCTGCCACCTGGCTGGCGAGTGATGCACTTTGGGGGGGGTGATGCTCCAAACTGTACCTAATTAATGTGAGTGCTCACTGGGCCGGTAGAATGCACGCACAGACACAATTAATCATCTTAATATATTTTCTTGTTATTTCCAAGGTCAACAGCGATCCGCTCAATTTCCTCATTGTTTGAGCCACGTAGATTTAACTCCTTAAACAGAAAAGGATTTACCCCTCCAGCTCTAATAATCTACATTTTTTCATGTTAACGTTTAATTAAAATGTAATAGGAAACGGGTCATTTGTAGCTCTGAACACACAGAACATTCCCACCAGCTCTGCAGAGCTTTTTAAGCCTCTTTTAGGGCATTGTTTTGATCGTACGGCTCATTTAGCGTCTGGTTCAGTCTCAGTGTTTCCAGCAGGCAGCTTGCTCTAATGAACCCACTGTACACTACCGGCTCAGCCAGACCCAGTTCAAGACTAACTGGTGAACATGGTGGAGCATTCAGCAGCTAAAGAGACAGATGTGTCCCTCTGGAGCTGGAGGAGACCAAAAATGGAGCTAAAAGAAAGAGAATATTCGTGTTTTCTGTCCTCGCCAATATATGAATTTAGCTTTTAAAGTTACATGGAGAAGTGACCACCGGTCTCCCGGATGAAAGAGCTGTTTGTTGGACCCATCGTCCTCCCATCCCTGCAGCCCTGTGTGGGTCTTTGCGGTCTTTGTACCTCCTCGTTCATAAAGGTCTCACCAAGGGTCTCCATGCTGTGTAACAAAACGAGCCTTTTGAATTTGCACCCAAAATGTTGTCAACATTCTTTCTTTTGTAATCGCTAACGTAGCCTCCGTACTTCTCATGCAGGAAAGAAGATCCCCAGATCACAGAGACGCCGCTTCACTCTGGGCTAATGTTATCACATGACCTCGGTGTTTGGCGTAATATGGCAGGCAATTTGTGGTGGAATGTGAACTTGACAAATTCCACAAATGGCAGATTTGCATAAGATTAACATCACAGATGACCTCCACAACTTTTACAAATGACTTGAGGCCCCCAAGTTAAAATAGTCCCGTATGAAAACGGCTAGAGAGACTATTAATTGCCTAAAAGTTTAATCTGACTGGACATCGTTATCTCTACTACACTCTTCAGTATCTAATTGGGGCAAAAACACTTAAAAATATTAAACAAATGAATTCAGAGCTTGTGTCACACCTCGTATGAAACACGGCACATTTTGGCACATTGTATTTGATTAATACTCGTATGGAGTACTGTTTCGTCCTATTTATTTAATCACCATACCACACAGATGTCCATGCAGAAATTACGTGTTTCTGCTTATTCAGCACAAAGATTAACCGCAGGAGGAAACGTCACTATTTTCTGGTCATGAAGTGAACAAGAACATCTAAATTAAAAAGGACGGTTTGCAGTAAATAAATTAGAGCCATTTTGATTGAATGTTCATAAATAATTAATCAAAGTACAATACTTATTCTTCAAAGATGTCATAGTGAAACTAATGGTTTACATGTTGGACTACCTAATTTGCAAGTGTCTTTATCATTTCAAGTCTAAATTGTAAAAAGAAATGTAAAACTTTAAACCACAATGAAAGCTGAACAGCAGGTCGGGCTTCAGTGGCTGCTGATGTTTGGTGTCTGTGGTCGTCTGGAGGAGGAAGTGAAAGCAGACAGACCTCAGTGGAACCGCAGCTTAACTCTCTGCAGAACCAAAACATCGATAGAAGCCAAACTTCCTTCTATGTGTGACTTACTTGGCAATAACATCGTTTCTGATTCTGGAAAAGAAAAAAAAGTTGTGTGAGGCAGGAAATGAGCTCATACAGCAGAGAGCTCCGTACTCAGACGATTACAGACGAATAATCTAATTAACAACATTTCAGTTCCCTGAAAATACTCTGTTACAGGTCAAAGTATCTACATTTAATCAGAATAATGTACTTTAAGTATTGAAAGTAAAAGTATTCAATGCAGATTAATCTGTTTTTGAATTTTTAAAAAAATTGATTTAAATAATTAAAAGCTGCACATTTTCACATCTGATTTTTAAACTACAACATTCTTATAATTTTTGCCAAAAGAATGACAAAATGATCTGTTAATCCACTAATTGACGAATCTTTTCAGCTGTACTGTTGGGTGGTGTCATTTATTACAAAACAAAATATTTTATTAACCCGTCATATACTTTGTGTGCAAAAATATTAATTTGCAGAGTCGCTGTAGTGTAAATGTAGTGAAGTAAAAATGTGCATGAAAACAAAATAGTTAAAGTACAAGTACAGTACTAGTACTGTATAGTTTCTGGGTCAGTTTCTGTCAAAGATCCCTCCAGTCAATCCTCCTCATTCACCAGAGAACACACGTCTGACCTGTTTGTTCCGACACACTAAACTTTAGAGGAATGTGGTTGAAACGCTCCTCTGCTCCTCCTCCTCTAATCCTGTTGTTTCGGTTAAGGAGGACGGAGGAGGAGGAGGAGGAGGAGGAGGATGGAAGAAGCTGTAGGGTGTGAAGATAAAACAGCTGGATGTAGACAGAGCGACTGAGGAAAGATGGAGAGCTAAAGGACGCAAGAAAACTCTAAAATAAATTGAAGTTGTAATTACTGCAGAGAATGACTGATGATATGTACTTTTAAAGATGTGCTAGTGGTGCCGAAATATCCACAAATTTTGTATCTGTAGACCTTAAATACCTGAAATACTCCTCTGCAGCGCTCCTCTGTGGAGCGCCCGGGTTACATTATGGTTACATTATTTCTCCCTCTTCCACCGTTTAAACCCCCGTCTCTTCCCCTACCTGTCTCTCCAGGTGAGCCCGGGGCTCCAGACTGAGTGCTAACCATGCTGCGGCAGTCCGACCCAACCTCCAGCACCCTGCAGCTGGTCGCCAACGACATGACCGACATCATGGAGAAGCTGGACAGCCGGGAGAAGCTGGACAGCCGCGAGCTCGACCTGGAAGACGGCGAGTATGACTCGACCGACGCCCACTCGTCAGGTGAGCGCAATTTTGTCGGTTGTGGACGTTCATCTCCCGCCCGTCGCCCGCACGTATCCGTGTGTCACACATTTCTCTGTATGCAGAGCGTTTGCCGTTCACGGCGATCTACCACGTGGTGGGCTTCAAGGAGGCCGAGGCCGACGTCTTCCTGTCCTCTCCGATCACGGCGAAGATCCTGGAGGTGGAGCGCTTCACCGCGGCTCAGGACCGCTTCAACGTCACCACGCAGAGGAGCGTCAACAAGGTGCTCAAAGACACGGTTTTTATTTGTCCTATTGTGGAGCTCTGGTGGCACAAAGATCACGATGCTGTCCTGAAATTCTCAAACGGGTTTTAAATATCTGTGAAGAAGGTTCATTTAGTCCAAACTCGATTTAGTGCACATTTTAACATCTAAATATCACGGTCTGACCTGCGTCTCTGTGCTCAGTCGTTGCCGGCGGTGTTTAAGATCGAGATGAAACACGGGGAGTTCACCTGGCTGGTGAAGAGGAAGGAGAAACACTTCATGGATCTCCACAGAGAGCTGAGGACCTACAAGACCTTCATGAGGCTGCCGCTGCGGACACGAAGGTAAAAGGGTTCTCCGGTTTAGAGGTTATGAGCTCAGATTAGAGGCGACGTAATCAGCTTCAATCTTCTGCAAGCTGCTTCCAGGACGTTTTGCTAAAACGAAAACACTTTTTTTGTGCTGTACCGACCTGGGATTTGAACCGGCGACCTTCTCTCTTGTTGTTTTCTCTCTGCAGCCACACGGTGAAGAGGCAGACGGCGGAGAGGAGCGAGGGGAGGCAGATCCCGAACCTCCCCAGAGGAGGAAGAGACGAGCTGGAAAGGGACGGGCAGGTGTCCAGTCGCAGGGTACGCCTCCAATCTGTGTGATTTCACACTTATTCATATTTGACTTTATTTTACTGTCTGATATTTATCTCATGCTCCAGAAACAACTGGAGGATTACTTGAACAACCTGCTCAAGACGCCCATGTACAGGAACTACCATGCAACGGTATGTAAATATGTATATCAGGAGGGTTTCTCTCTGGAAAATGATAAAACATGTTTAATGTGCAACAACAAACATAGAAACACTTGTTTGTCTGTTTCAGATGGAGTTCATTGATATTAGCCAGCTGTCTTTCATCCACGACCTGGGACCAAAAGGCCAGTAAGAACGTTTCATATTATCTCCAGACAACAACGCACTATAATATCAAAAAAGCCTTCATCTGTGTTTTTTGAGACTCATATTTCATATCAGTATTTATTGATAGAGAAAGAGCTTTTCTTGTCTTTCAGAGAAGGAATGGTGCTGAAGAGATCCGGCGGCCATCGGATCCCCGGGTTGAACTGCTGCGGTCGAAGCAGAATGTGTTACCGCTGGTCCAAACGGTCAGTGAACAGACAACGTCATCAGTCCTATAAGTCCTATAGACGTCACTTTGTTCTACTCAAACGTGTGTGTGTGTGTGTGTGTGTGTGTGTGTGTGTGTGTGTGTGTGTG